ATCCCCTTAAATACGCTTCTTTCGAGCTGAATTTCGGGGAGGCAACTGGACGATACTATTATACCTCTTGCTTAGCTCTGCTTGTCGAGGCACCTCCGTCTCAACATTCCGAATTTCCACGTTAGTCGCGAAAGGTTAAAGATTGGGGGGGGGGGGGGGAAATACGAGAAACGACGGACTGCCTCTTTACGCGAGTCGTTTAAAATTTAATATTCTATACACACGAGGCTCTTCTGCCTGGCTAATAATAGACCGAACACGTTTGTACATTTCGCGACATCGATTCGGAGATCCATTATCATGCCGTGTAACGAAACGGTAGCGCCAAGTCTTACTTTGTCATCCATCAGCGGTGACATTCGCGCATTTAGCTTCCGACACACGCCGGCGTGTGTGCACGCTGTACGTGTCGGCGGCGACGCGCGTAACATATATTTTAGCCTCCACATGGCATTATAGAACGTTATCGACAGCGCGGAGCTGTCACGGGGGTACGGCCGGAACAATTGAGCTACTTCGCTTAATTGCCGGCCGATCCGTCCGTCCGCACGGGCCGCAAATGGAATGGAATGGAATATGAAGCGTATATCGCGCGGCAATCGATACGCGGGTTTTACATGCGCGGCGTGTGCACGCTCCTCGGCGTAAAACGCGCGCTCGGTTACGCCGCGAGGAGCGCGAGGCCGAAGTTGGTCCTCCGGAGAGTGAACTCGGTTCCGGCTGGACTGCCGGACGTACGGCGCGCGATCGCGCGCGGATGAGCGAGTTTAAATTATCCCCAGCGTCGAACACTCTCGCAGAGTCCCTCAAATTTCAACTAACCGGCCGGTCCCACGGAAACGAGCATCGCCCTCTCGAGGGGATGATAGCGCGGAATGATAACGCCGGCGCTCCTCGAGGTCGACCCGAAGACGCCTACCCGTCCTCGCGTCACCGCGCGTCACTCTATCCGCTTATTGATTGTGGATGCAGGTATTAATTATGCGAGCGTCTCTCCCTAAGACACCGGCCTGTCGTTAACGCGACATGCATTTAAGTTCACCTGAGAGACTCTCGTGGCTGCGGCGCGATTCGGGACGAGGTGAGATTTTGTAAAAATAAATTCCAGCGCTCGAATCAACAGCCTCCCGGCCTGGCCTGGAAAAACAGTTATGAAATGGAATTTACATCGGCGATATTTCGACTCGTTAAATTTCGAGCGAATTGACAGATTTGTCATTTTTTTAAAAACATTTTTACAGCTTCGCAGCCCGAACTCTTTATTTTTCCATACGGAAAAAAAATATGTATTTTCATTTGAATGGGACTCTTTTTTTTCCCCATTCCGCCTCGATAAAGTCCAAGGTGCAATGTAAATAATCGGGGGTATTAGCCATTAAAAGGTTTTCCGCGCGGCTTTTAGGAGACGTTAAACCCTTAAACGTTCTTGTTCGCAGCGGAGCACTCGACGGGAGGCTTCGTTACGGAAGGCCCTTGATAAATCGCTGTCTTCTTTACAGGTGATCTCCACCTCCCGGAGGATGTAAACGCGCGTAATCTCGTCGGACGGGCTCCATCCCACCCGCCCCTTTCGAGCTTCAATGAGGGTCTAGGATAGGATAGGCTTACATCCTCGAATTATCGGTAAGTTGCACGAACAACGTTCACCATCCGCCCAATATCGTCTTCAGTCGCGCTTATCCGCGCCCGCACGGGCGCGAGCGCCGATTTTTGGCCGCCCCTCGGGCAGAGGGTGCGGGCAGAGGGGCGGCGAACAGAAAATATCGCAATCCGAAGAGTCATTAATCACGAGCTGCGCATAACGCCCGCGAATCTTGTGAGATTTCGCGCGCCGGGACGGCGATTCGTATAAGAACGATCGCGTTTCCGACGTGGTAAATATGGGGCGTCTCTTCGGCACGGGGGATGAAAAATACAAGCGTGGACGCGCGATATATCTTCGCGCTCACGCGTACGGGGCCACTCGCGCCCGTGAATTAGGCCAAGCTTAAGCCGGCGCGCGCGCGCGAAAATCGCTGAATGCGATTTTCAGAGCGTGACATTTTCAATAGGAGCGATTTTCTACTTGAGCGCGTAAACGCGGCGACGGAAACGCCGTCGTCGTCGCCGTAAACGTAAATTTTCTCCTAAATGCAACAGAAAACGACTGTGCGTGATTCATCGTTTGCCAGTGCGGAATAGAACTAAATTTCGCAACAGGAAATCGATATTATTGATCACGTGCTTCCCCGCCCCGCCCTCCCCGTCCCGGTTAATGTAGGCAGATATAATAGACTAGGTGTATAGATTGTGTATAGATTTACATAAAGAAGGGTGACATTCTATTTTCTCTCTCTCTCTCTCTCTCTCTCTCTCTCTCTCTCTCTCTCTCTCTCTCTCTCTCTCTCTCTCTTTCTCTCTCTCTCTTCCTCCCTTTGCCTGTACGTGTGTTCACGGAGAAACGGATTTACCTTGATAGATTTGTTTCTGATCGATTTCGAGTGAAATAATTCCCTGAAAAAGGTATCTGCTAAATGCGAATCGAACTTATTAGTTTCACAGCAGCCGTATTTTTTTTGCGTCCGAACAACATATTTCGCCGTTTGATCTCGGCGTCTGTGTGCGTTGCATAAGGGTAGACGTTTGTTTCATTTTGCGGCCGGTTTTGCGTTACGCTTAATATGTTATGTGAGAAAGCACAAGGGAAAGATTCCGATCTAGCTTTATTTCCTCTTAACGGCCTAGACGTTTGATTTCTTGCCCGCAAAAGCAGTTCTGAGGCCCTCGATTTAACCTGGTATATATACCATATGTATGACTCTATAACTGAAAACCGCAAGCATAACTCCACTTTGGTGCAGGCACCACCAATTTCAGGCATCTCCGAGCACAATGGTCTTTAATGGAGGGGAGAATGTCGCACAGAATTAAGGACTAATATCGATATAGATGTCTGCGTAAATTCTTTGGATTCCGTAGTCTCTGACGTCTTATAGTCTAGAGAATAATAATGAATTAAGGATCGATTTTTCAACGTCTTGGTAAGATAACCAGTAGTTAAATTTTATATCTATCTCTGCCTACTTTGAAGGAAAAACAAAGACCTATATATGATTTAACTATTAGTTAACTTACCAAGAGATTGGAACAACCGGGCTTAAGTATAATTGCATATAATGATGAGGTCGGTAAAGCAAGTGTTTATGTATATGCGTGCTAATATTTACGCGTGCATCGGCCCGCAGAGATGATTTTGTTACGCTGAATCGTCTCTAAAATTACAAAACATTTTTCCGATACATTTGGCACAGCTTCGCACGCGTATTATTTTCATTTCATGGAACAGCGGTCATACACACGCATGCGTGTTATAACGGAATTTGGCGTGCGAGGCATGGCTTGAATATTTCTAAAATATTCAGTTCTGTATAAAGGCCCTCGTTATTACACGTATACATAAAGCCACCTATTTTCACGGTTCATCTCTCCCCGTCTCTCCCCGTCTCTCTCTCTCTCCCCCCCCCCTCCTCTCTCTGTCCCGACATCAGTTCTGAATCGGGCGAGCACGTCCGCGCCTCGTTACACGAGTTGTAACACGGCGGATGCCACGTATGCGCGAAATCTCAACTTCAACATCGGTGAAACACCTCTCGCGGATCTGCCGTGCATTTGCCGACTCGCGCGAGATCGAAAATCGCATCTCACCGCCAATTTGATTGCGCGCGGCTGATCTCGAGCTTTAGCACCCGCTTCGGGTGCCGTATCGAGAGTCTGAGCTGAAAAATCGCGATGATATATTTTTACATCGGGAAATCGCTGATTTTACGATTGCTGTACAAATTATCCGGGCAGCTCCGGCAGGATAGGTATCGGCGAAAGCGATTTGTCCGCCGCGTAATTCGAAATCGATTTCAGCGAAACTACCAAGTTTACCGAGCTTTCGTACCGGCAGAAGTCATTCTACTAATGGAATATTTAATAAACGAGATAGTACGTTAACTGCAAAGCAATTTTTCTTTCAGTCTCTCATATATTATGAATTTCCTTTGCCACGCCATTTTGGATATATTGTCTTGTTGCGTCGAGCCATTCGTACGAGAAACGAGCTTTGTTATGAATTACGCTTCTATCGTTTCTTCAAATTGTATTCAATGCTTTTGCAGAATCGCGTGAAGAACTGGAATGATTCAAATTTGCTGGATTTATCTTGTGGAATCTTAAGCTTCTAACGTATTCCCTTCGAGCTAGCTCCCGAATCGAGTGTTTGGTCCCGGAATGGGCCTCAATTATTCCATACTGCCTTCATTTGGACCTTGGAGTCGGTTTAAAACTCCAATTTTAGGTCCAGATGAGTAAAAAATTATGTGTAACCTCATTCTAACCCTCAAAGAGAATGTAATAAAATGTCTTGCCCTCTTTGAAACCTCTCAGGCCGAAGAGGATCTACCGAACCTCTGTTGATTACACTCGCATTGGCTTCTTTACTGCTAAAAGGAAAATAGCGATTCTTCTCGGGCCTACCTGAGGTCAAAAATTCAATATACTCGTATTTTCTCCGATACAAAGACCTTAGTTTGACCTCGTTGCTCTCAATTCAAAAATTATTACGAGGCTAAACTGAGGGCAAAATATTCCGGCTCCGGAGCTTTCACGCTCCTTTTGTCTCGCTTGAATAGTCCGCCCGGAGGTTTTAGAGGACGAAATTAAGGCAAATAAATTGGACATAACCTGCTCCAGTTTATCAGCTCTCACATTTTCGCGCACGATTACCTCGGGTCATTGTACGTAGGCGATTGATCGCAGCTAACTGTTCGTTATCGATCCTCTAATCCCAACGATAGCGAGTGGTATCCGAGTTATAAGACGTCGAATGGGAATCGATACACCCCCCCCCCTCTCTCTCTCTCTCTCGGTCGCGGCCGATAGATACCAAATACGCAAATACCGGAATGCATCGCATGCCAGGATTCGCAGTAAATTCCCTTCCTCGGGACGAGGCGCGCGCTAAGTTTATTTGCTTCGTTGAATTATTTATCACGCTCCCGTGTCCCGACGACACGTTAATGTCTCCCTCCCCCCCCGCGCCCTCGCCGCGGGCTTTATAATTTATCGCGGACGGTCGCGATAACGAGGCGTCGATAAGAGAGCCTTAATGCAGTGCCGTAACGCCAGTCCCCGACCCGGACGATGGCGTTCGATTTCGAAGAACCCTCGCCTGCTACATAGACTAGGTATCCTGATGGCGTTAACGCGATTCATCACCCGCTGCGAGAAGTAACGTCCTGTCCCGAGGCCGCCTTTCAATAAGCAACGGGGGAGATTGAAATTACCCCTGTGGGGTAACGCAATTTCTCAGCCCTCTCCACTCCGGGGTTCGTATTCGAATTAACGAGTTTTGACGGAAGTCCTTCCGGGCCACGTTCCGCCCCGCGTACACGTCCGCGTTATCGCGAGGCGGTAATTTGTTTGTTCCATTTACCTCTCGATCGGTGGTACGTCACCGTCGAAGTCACCGTCGACGCGACGCCGGTAAAGCGTGTACCCCAGCGCCGGCTGTAATTTACGAGCGGGGCCGATTCGATCGAAAGATAGCTGTCAAATTCCGCGTCGAACCCCGGTGACGCTGTCACCGCGCGATCTCGCGTCGCGATACCCTCTGCTATATTACCGCGGAGGATAGTGGGACGAATTTTTCTCTCCTCGTTTCGTGATTATTCCGCGTTATTATGCGTTACGATTAAAACGCATGACCTGTTACATATTCGTACAGCACGTTGTTATTACCAGTATTACTCCGCCGCCAATGCAGCTCGGCTAATTTCCATAAATACATACGGAAGGGCAGCTTAATTAGATAGAGCTGGTTTCATGTCAAAGCACGCGCGTATTCTGCCCGACGTTATACAGGGAGGAACATCGGCCGGCTAGTTGGCCGGCTGGAACAATGTAATCGAACGGCTATAAATGTTGTAATCGACGTGGCGTATAACGAGGGACCTTGTGCCACGGGGAAAGTGGGTGACATAAGTGTACATACCGCGGGGTCAGAGTCGCCACGGCGGATGTGGGCCGTGTGCGAACACAGTTTCCAGCGAGTAGAGCAGTCCGCGACGTCAAGTTACCCCGATTGTCAAGAGAATCCCTCGGCCATCTTTTGTCGCGCGGAAGAACTGTGCAATTTTCTAAAGCCAATTTCAAATTTAACTCCTGAACCGTGTGTTTTAAGTATGAAAGTGTTCTGCTGTGCGGTCCGCGACTGATCCCGGTACAATTTTGTGCACAAAAGCGCCAGCAGAAAGAATTACAAGCGCAAAAACTATATTTGACTGTGTCGGTAAAAAAGATGGCTGAGGGGATCCTCTGAAGCGCGACCGGTGAAAAGAACGCTCGGGTGTGCGTACGATCTGTCGTCGACTGTAGCGCTAATTTTAACGGGGCTGTACAGGTGCTGGAATTTCTTCGGCCTCGCGACCCTTCCGATAGCTCAACCCTTCGTCGATATTGTTGGGGCGCAGACATAAAAATAGAAAAACGGGATATCCGTTTCCACGGGCGGACGTGTTTGTGCGTAATCTAAATATGTATTTATCGGTAGAGCGAGCAGTTAAATTCTACGCCACGTACGTGGATCCTATTTTTATGGT